GAGTTTCTCTGAAACAGAGACATACATGTGTACCGGCTCCACACACACCCCTCACACCCAAAAGATTTCGACGAAGTCCCCCACACCAGAGACATTCCTCCCCACACCCCTTGCATACAAAAAAATCGGCTAAGTTCCCCACACCAGAGACATTCCTTCCTCTCCACACCCCTCGTACCCCAAAAAAATCGGCTAAGTTCAACACACTAGAGACATTCCTTCCCATCACACCCACACCCCTCGCACCCCAAAAAAATCGGCTAAGTCCCTCCCCCCTCACATCAGAGACATTCCTCCCCATACCACTTGGGGGCGGGGGCAAACCCTGAAACGGCAGGGCCAAAAGAGAGGGCTGCCTGCACGTGACACGTCACGTGAGTCTCATCGCCCTTAGGACCCGCTCAAAAAGTGTGCGTTCTTAGCGGACGCTCTCGAAGCGTGCCAGCAGTCCTGTTGCGCACGTTTCGAAATCGGCTGGAAATCGTGCCCGAAATGAACTCCCGCCAGAAACGACAAATCATGGCTGACGAAAAGTAAATACACGACTTCGTCATATTCCGGCAGATTCGTCAATGCCGAGGCAAAAACAGCGAGGCCTCCTACTACCACAACTCCATTTCTTTCGCCAATACCTTTTGGTTTTCGCTGCGCAGAGCATTTGTCGTTTCAAAGGCTGGACGCAAGGCCGAGGCAAACATGCTCTCTGTGGTCGAAAGGTGAACCTCGCGACATCTACATTCCCCGTAACATTTTTCCGAGCATGTACAGAAGACGTAAAAAGCGCGTGTAAGGGCAAAATGAACTCGCTCGACATGCCCTAAGTGTTCGTATGACGGTCAGATGAAAGTTCAAAGCCAAGGCTGATTTTCAGATGGCCAAAAATCCTGGCAGAGTCCCCGGTTTGGACGCTTAGCGATTTTGCTCGTTTGTAACCCGCAACCGCTAATTATTCGAAGTGCTGCAAACAAGTCTCATCATCTCATGCAAACATACTATGCAAATAGGTACGGTTCTCTGAAATTTCAAACATTCGTTCTAGATTTCTCTGAAAAATCAGACAACTTTTTCCAACATTATAATTTTTTAACACACGCTGTGTTCTTCAAAAATTGTGTATTGTGAAAGCAAAGCTGATTATACTGAAGCGTTGGGCATCATCGAAGCACGCTACTCGCCCTTCTCCAACTACAAATTCGTGGGTTGGAGCTCATTTACCTCCACCCACGTCTCTCATTTTTCAAACGGCTCAGTCCACTTTCCCGCTCTAGCTTTTCTCCCGTTCAAGCTGGCTAAGACTAGAACTTTGCCTCGCGGCGAGTCTCCCTCAACTCTTCTGTCCGATATTTTTAAGTTTCACCAAACCGTTATGGCTCCGACTACAAATAATCGCGGTGAGTCCAACGTCGTCACCGGCCACCCCAATTCCGAGTCTACTCGTCAAGCCCCGAAAATTGCGGGCGACCGGCGCAACCAGCGTCGGGCAGAAGAAGGGGCGGCTGCCCCAACTGGGGTTGACGTTTTGCTTGGAGGGGGCAAGGTCAACAATCAGCCTGCTGACGCGCCCCCGCCCCCTTACGAGCCACGCGCGCAAGTGGCTGAGTAGGACCAGCCACTCGCACCTGACGCCGAGCAGCAGCATGCGCCAGCGCCGCAAGTGGTGGGTCCTTCTCGCCAGCGCAAAAGGGGGCGCGCGGCTGCCTCGTCTGACGTGCCGCCCACCCCGACCTTGACCCCCTCGTTGACCCCTACGCAGGTCAATGCGCTGTTGACGCTGTTACAGCAGCAAGCGACAGGTGTTACGGCCGCCGAAACTGCTCAACCTGCTGCTTCTGAATCTGCTAAACAAGAACCTGCAAAAAAAGGAAAGGCCACACGCGGAACCAAGACGACACGCCTCGCCAAAGACGCCGTCGCCAGCATCCCGCCTGCCTCGGCGGCCGACAACGACAGCGACGGCATGCCGGTGCTTTGCAATTCAGATCTTTCGCAGTAGATGCAGTGGCCGAGCTTCTCGCCACCGGCGCAGCTCGGGTCGTTCCTCCTTCCACAACCCTCACATGCGTTAGCCCTTTAAACGTGATTTTCCAACCCTAAAAAAAGAGGCTGATATTGGACTTGCGGCATGTCAACTCATTCCTCTCGGTACCTCGTTTTCGATACGAATGACTTACTCGCGTTCCTGATTTGGTACAAGAAGGCGATTGGCTATTCACGATCGATCTCAAATCTGGATACCACCACGTCGACATTCACCCCGCTTTTTGGCGGTTTCTCGGATTCTCCCTGCAAGGGCAGAACTACCAATTCCTCTCTTTGCCTTTCGGGCTGGCTACAACGCCATTTGTGTTTACCCAGATAATTAAGCAACTCTCTAAACGCTGGCGTCGCCGCGGCATCCGCCTTATTCCATACGTCGATGATATCCTATTCATCAGTGCCACTCGAGCGGAGGCTCTTCACAACTGCTCCATAATCATCGCCGACCTCGCAGCCGCGGGCTTTGTTGTGAATTTCAAAAAATCACAACTCGCGCCAGCACAATCTTTGAAGTTCTTGGGCCTCTTGCTGGACACGCGCACCACCCCATTCTCTGTCGATGCAGATCGGCGCAACCGGCTTTTTGCCGAGCTTGATGAATTAGGCACACTCGGCGCTAACGGGCGTCGCATCCCTGTTCGCTGCGCTGCCCGCATCACCGGCATGTTGGCCTCCATGTTCTTGGCACTTGGCATTGTCGCGCGCGCTTTCTCCCACCACCTTCTCACGCAGATCGCCGAATGCCACTCATGGGGGGCGGCCATTCTCCTAACCCCTGAGTCTATTAAAGAGCTGTGTTTTTTTCTTACACTGTTCGACGTTTTCAACGGCGCCCGCTTCCACAACCCGCATTTGTACGACGTGGTCATGTATGTGGATGCTAGCGACCATGCCTGGGGGGCTTGTTATTCAGCGCCGGATGGTCGTGTCGGCTTCCTCTCCTCCCAGCTGACTCTAGCCCTCTTGGGCTCGTCCAGTACCCTTCGCGAGCTGGCCGGAATCTTTTGGTCCCTTTCGGTCTTTTCTGTCGAAATACGACGTTCGCACATCTTGCTCCGCAGCGACAATCAGGCGGCCTACTACATCCTCCAGAAGGGAGGCTCTCGCCGTCCCGAGCTTACCTTCGTATGCCGCGCGATTATTCAATTGTGCGTGCGCCATATAATCCATCTTACGGTCCAATGGATTCCCCATGCGCTGAATACCGAGATGGATGCTCTGTCCAAGATTGAGCTCCACGACGACTACTCCTTGACACGACCTTGGTTCCGGCTGCTTGAGAGGCATTGGGGGCCTCATACTATCGACTTGTTCGCATCCCCTGCCAATGCGCAGCTCGCTCGTTTCTGCTCCCTCGAGTTCTCACACTCTGCGGTTGCGCAAGACGCCTTTTCTATTAACTGGGGACACGAGAATTGCTTC